GGTACATCAAGGACTAGTCGGCTCGGAGTCAGTATAATGTGTCTGAGTGGGGTATTCATGCTTCACTGCGGCATGGTATCTCAGTGGGCTAGCACTATAAAACCAGCTTCAGTCTGGGCTAGTACAAGCAGCCGCACATACACATACACATGCATGCACGTCGTCATATGGGCGAAATATTCTCAAGCCTGACGTTAAACCCAATTTCACCTCACCTCACCTTCAAACAAACCAACTGCTAATGTTGAAATGTGCTATCGGTTGCAGGAACCTGTTGCAGGATGTGGACGCTTATAACACTCTGACACAGGAGGCTACCGAGACACTGCAAACATTCTGCTACCAACAGTTTGGTCACATTGTAAGTGAGTTTAGTTTTACGCCGCTTTTAGCAATATTCCAGCAATATCACGGCGGGGGGACACCAAAAATGGGCTTCACACATTGTACCCATGTGCGGAATCAAACCCGGGTCTTCGGCGTGACAAGCGAACGCTTTAACAACTAGGCTACCCCACCGTTTCCTTTACCGTCTGGTAGCGGTAGTATCGAGATGATTATTTAGATGATATCAATGTCGTGCCTTTTATTTGTGTTTTCATTTGTCTGTTGAACGCCGCACAAATATTCCAACTATATGACGGCGGTCTGTTAATAATTGAGTCTGGACCAGGCAATATTGACATTATGAGCGTGGATCCACATAACCGGGATTCGATGACATGCACTACCACACCGCCCTTTGGTCACATAGTAACACACTACTTCTCTGTTGATGGCAAGAACAACCTTCGTCTGTTTTCACGTGTGCCCAAATTATCATGAATACATCGTTCCTCATTGGGATCACAACCTTTGAAAATCTGTTGATGCTGTTGAAATGAATGCCTGAAAGAGAAGATGTGGCGTTGCATGTCTTTCAGGATGAGTTAGGTCGGCCCGATGCTTGGTAGAATGGAACAACTGAAAAAGTGGAAAAGATATGTCTATTCTGTCCCTGATACCAGTCTCCATGTCATCCCAACCCACATGAAAATTTTATAATCGTTTCAACGTGAGTGAGTGAGTATGGTTTTATGTCGCCTTCAGCAATACCACGGCGGGGGGCACCAGAAATGGGCTTCACACATCTTACTCTGTCGGGGGATCGAACCCGGATCTTCGGCGAGACGAGCGCACGGCTTAATCCATTAGATGATTTAGTATCTACTCGCCTACATTTCAATTCGCTTTCAACCCATATAGCATACAAAAACAATGTAGGCTATTTGGGATTAGAAAATGCAATCCATACTCTTATAATGAGCCTGACTCACTGGTCAGGGCCATACTAATCTTGATCGACTGTTGTTATAAGGATATGTAGTTGAGTAGAGAGGATTAGTGTATCCTCTAAGAAGTTACAACTGGGTAATAATATATTGAAAGGGATTAGCGCATAAGCTGTAGGCGAATTGGGATGTAGGCGAATAGAGAACAACCCATCACCGCTTTATTTCCTACTATTAAATGCACGCATCACTTGCTTAATTGTTTCATCAAAGACTTTGGTATGAGTGACATTCTATTCTTCCAGTCTATGTTAACTGTCAGGGGCGATGGGGTAGTCTGGTGGTTAAAGCGTTGGCTCGTCACACCGAAGATCCGGGTTCGAATCCCCACATGGGTACAACGTGTGAAGCCCATTTCTGGTGTCCCCCGCCGTGATGTTGCTGGAATATTGCTAAAAGTGGCGTAAAGCCAAACTCAGTCAGTCAGTCAGTTAACTGTCAAGACTAGTATTGTCGAACTTGAAGCCCGAAGACATGTCTTTTCCCCTGTATTGCTGGATTGAAAGGAGTGATAAATTGCAGAATCCTGCAAATTTACCCCAAAATTTGTTAATTTACGATAAATCCTTCATGCAGTCAAGGCTTTCTACATATCAGCAGGAAGCAAATGAGACTATTGATATTAATATTATATTGAATTACAGTAACTCAAAAGATTTGCTTAAACGGTTGCAGCTTCAGAGTCAGAACACAACATGGTTAGCTTCCAAACAAATGGCTTCCCACGCTATACGCATACGATTTCCGACGACAAAAACACGAAACACTGCAAACATGAATCCCCGGGGTAGTTTGTCAAAGACAAAAGCAAATGTCAACTGAACTTTACGGAGAAATCAATTTGTTGGAATCCGCCATTCATACCAGCCAAGTGGAATGTGGGGAAAGGTCATGCGCACAAGGAATAAACATCCCTGTGCTCCCTGACCATGCTGATCGGTTTATTAATGCATATGAATCGGAATTGCAAAAACCAGACACGGAAATTTGGCCTGATTAATATACAAATATTGGACTGTGCCATGATGCATTCGGGTGGCATAACCAAAGGGGGGTAACTCTAGAAAAGCTTCAGATTTCAAGGTCCCTGGGGTTCCCAAACTCTCATTTTAAAATCAATCATATTTTCTACACCGATGGTATTGCCACACACTTTGAATGTTGCAAATTAACAGTAACAGCAAATCTGTATTTTTATGAAACATTGATTCATTTAAATAACCCTTTCGGCTCAGAAAGAATTCCTCTTATATTGATGTTTAAATCATCTTGCTATGTGTCTTGCGTTAACGTAACATTACAAACGATTTTACGAACGCTTCAAAAGTGCCATAGTAAATCTACTCATGAATGCCTGTGAGTATATTTTTTTTAAAAGGCTGACAATTATTAATTCGAGTATTGCCTGCAGTGACATGGGTATATGTACAACTGAATGATTAAATGGTTCTCCTTTACAATTCAGCTTGAGTTTTTTGGGTGTTTTTTATGAAAACTATATGTTCAGCATCCTCGATAATCTCCAGTGGAAATTTATCGGAACGTATACCCTGGTGATTATTGAGGATGTATGTTCGGAGGCCACGTGTATGTCTTCACCACTATAAATACTAAATGTTTGATAGACATTCTACAATTTGGCGAGTCAGTAATGAAGCATATCACCTTATGGGAGACAACTTCTTGTTTATTACATAGAGCGACGTTTTGGGATAGATTCTAACACCGTTTTCAATATAAAAGTGTAAGAATCTACCCCGAAAAGTCGCTCTATGCAATAAACAAGAAGTTGTCACCCATAAGGTGATATGCGTCACTATAAAAACTGATTTGTATAAGACACATCAATCTATAAACGAGGCGCGGTGGGGTAGCCTAGTGGTTAAAGCGTTCGCTCGTCACGTCGAAGATCCGGGTTCGATTTCCCCACGTTTGCACAATGTGTGAAGCCCATTTCTGGTGTCCCCCGCCGTGATATTGCTGGAATATTGCTAAAAGCGGCGTAAAACCCAACTCACTCACTCACTCACTCTATAAACGAATAAATCTTCAACGTAACCTCCGACCCAATTTCACCTCACAGCAAAGAATGAAACGTACACGTATATTAGATCTGAACTCCAGTGATCACACATAGTATAATAAAAGGCAAGGAGTATTTAGTCATCAAGATGGATAGTCTCAATCTTAACTGGCATTCTCTCTTGATTTGATCACCTTGTACCCATATTGTTAATGGCGGTAAGGTTCTGTTTCATGGGAGCCTCGTTCCCTGATTTATTTTAGCTACTCATTCAAGTTGCATGTCTCTCGTCAGTCCCAAATGATGATGATGATGATGATGATGATGGTTTGGGGAATTTACGTGAGTTTTCCGACATTATGCATATTTCGCACACAGTGACTGTATGTGTGATTGCTGTGTAAATAATGCGTTCCAACCTGTTTCCTTCCGTACAATGTGAAATGATAAAACAGTCATGACTTACACCGTGACACCTGTCCAACATACCGAGCATAGCCGGTAAATAATCCTGTTATTGCCTGTTTGGTAGCATGGTAATAAACTCGTAACACACATTAGGTTGGAATGCGGAACACGTACACGGTCTGCCAACAGCAGTGCCCTAAGATAATGTTTTCTATGGACATGTTCGTGGAACGTGAACTGGAACCTGAAAACCATAATAATAGCTCCGCTTCACTAGAAGTGTTTTGCAAGTGATTGAATACCAATGAATGGAATCTGCGAGCGTGTTAAGACGCCATTGCGTCACTGGGCTCTGCATTGTAATCACAGGATGTAATCACAGTCAGCCTGGGGATACATTCTTCTCAGCCTAAAAGTTAAGACTGATGTTGTCGATTTCCATATATCAGTGTTTTCTTCAGATGACATTTGTTTCGTTTGATAATAATTGCCAGTGCAATAAATTTTAGCGGTAGGTTCGCCACACCACTGTGGTTTCAATCATAGGAATCGTGTCAAGGTAACGCAGACGTGGTTGCCTCAAGATGATATTTCAAATAGTGAGTGAGTGAGTGAGTGAGTGAGTTTAGTTTTACGCCGCACTCAGCAATATTCAAGCTATATGGCGGCGGTATGTAAATAATCTGGACCAGACAATCCAGTGATCAACAACATGAGCATCGATCTGCGCAATTGGGAACCGATGACGTGTCAACCACGTCAGCGAGCCTGACCACCTGATCACCTCTTACGAGGTGGGTTTCGGAAGATCAATATTCTAACCCGGACCTTCAAGGGTATATTTCAAATAGGAATTTAACATAACAAGACGTGAAATTAATAGATTTGCCATGTATGTACTCCTGCAATAAGTCTAGCGGATTTTGTGTGCCTGTTTCTGTTACGATACATATCTCCTTCAAAGACTAAGTTACGACCGCAGCGTCTTTTTGGAAATAAACCGCACATTAAGCAGTATATTAGTGATTCAATGAGTTTAGTTTTACGCCGCATTCAGCAACATTCCAGGTATATGGCGGCGGTCTGTAAATAATCAAGTCTGGACCAGATAATCCAGTGATCAACAGTATGAGCATAAGCAGTATATTAGCCGTGATGACTTCAAGAACTCTAAACGTCCCGCCTATATACGTCTTCTGTTCCAAGACTTCACCATAAAAAATATCACGGCAAAGACCTTGCATTTGTGTACTTCTTTTATTGTTTCTTTTGATAAATAAAATATTCAATAAAAATACAAACAGGTGTTGACATTGTATATTACTGAAAGCAAGACATCTTTATAGATTATACACATCAGAGTGAATATGAATAACTGATAATTTTAACTAGACAGTCCCATAGGTACAAATATAAGTTCACCAGAAATGTTACCAGCCATGTGTAGACAGCTTCTTGAGACACTGGATAAGTCACAATGTTGGTAGGTAAAGGTACTTGGTATATAATCACAATGTTATTGTAGTAGTGTTAACTCTTGCAGTACTGCCATAACACTGATGGATACAATTCCTCTAGTCTATCCTACAGACCTGAAACTAATACAACCAATGCTATGCAAGTCTATAATACCTGGCCCTGATTTCTCGAAACAAACTTAAGTCAGAGTTTTTACTCAAATTTGAGAAAAATGCAAAAACTTAAATCAATATTAAACTCAAACTTAGTAGACAATTTGAGTTTGGTGGATAGATTACTTAAGTTGTTTGGGCTTTTTTATTTAAAAAATACATTTGAGTTAAAAATTCAGCTGTTTCAAATTGTCAAACTCAGTTTGAAATTTGAGAAAAACTTAAGTTTGTTTTGAGATCGGAGCCAGGTGAATCTAAATAATTGCCTATTTTCTGAAATTGAAGAAAGTCTCTGGGATCATTTTTATTATATTTTATTAAGATAATTTAAGATTTCTTTTCAGTAAAATATGTTCATTTCAGCGACTAGATGTTAGTGTACATTATCCCCTACAATCACCCTCCTGATAAGGCTATGTAAGGATAAAGATACCATTCCCTCAAGGTATCGGCAGTGTACTTAGCTTCACATGGATTGATGGACAGATGACAATGGCAGCTGGGGTGAGTGAGTGAGTTGGATTTAGCACTGCTTTGAATGATATCTCAGTTATATCAAGACAACCCTTGAAGAAACATCCAAATGACCTGGATGTTTAGTTTTGATGAACCAAATGACATGGCAGACAAATGTTTGTTTGTTTAATTCCATGCTTAGCAGTTCTCCAGCTATATGATGTCAGTCGGTAAATAATGGAGTCTGGACCAGAAAAACCAGTGATTGACATCATGAGCATCAATCTACACAGTTAGGAAATGATGACATGTGTCAACCAAGTCGGGGAGCTTGACCACCGATCCCGCCAGTCACTGCATCAATCTACACAGTTAGGAAACGATGACATGTGTCAACCAAGTCGGGAGCTAGACCACCGATCCCGCCAGTCACTTCTTACCACAAACATGGGTTGCTGAAGACCAAGATCTTCATGGGTCAACAGACAATTGACCACAGAGGGCTTCCATTAAACCAACTGTACATGCAACAACAACCTTATGTATAGATGAATCAACTGTTGCCTACAGCGGCATGTTACAGGAGGAAGTCCCAACACAGAGAGTAAACATCATTGTTTAACAGAGATACAATATTTAATGAAGATTATTTAATGAATCCAGTGACTAGATAAACCTGCCTTATGATTAATGTCTCGCATACAAACACAGTTTCTTATGTGTTTCTAGATACAATTCCTGAGGTGATTTTACACCGGTTGCAGCAACATCACAGAAACACCACAGTAGGGAAATGGGCTTACATGTTGAGTTACTGAATCTTCTGCAAACATTAATGTTACATAGTTTTTCATTAACTTAAAGTGATTGATAATTCTGGAGGACTGATTGAGTTATAATGTCAATGATAACCACATTCTTCTGATAATCATTGCTTAGGACTATCTATGTCATTTAGAGGTGGGCTTCCTACTTCTGCCAAGTTAGTTGAGGTTCTAGTAGGACAGAGCATCTATGATTAGAAAGATTCCAATATAATAAGTCTCAATTTGAGAAATAAAACATACAAAATCAAATGCTGATGAGAAAGTCACTGTATTTCTCAATTTGAGAAATACAACATCCAACATCAGGTTCTGATAAAGAAGCTTTACCCTCTTTAGGTCATCCCAAGCACATGGCAAGCAAGGGGAAGAAAATTAGAGTTATCTGCCCATTTGTGCTACTGGTCTTACAACTACTGGCATTTGCTTAACATGTCTGCTTAGCTGTTCCATATTGTACTGGTCCATATGCAAGTTTTAGGTCACAGAGACTAGGTATATGGCTGCATGTGGATGGTGTGTAAAGATGTTTCATGAAGAATGCTGGAAGACTGATCATGCGATTAGGGACCTATGTCCTGACAAAAGAAAAATGTTTTGAAAACATGCATCAACGTTCATATTATTATTGCAAGAAGGTTCTCTGACAAGATTCTGCTTCTCAACATTTTCTTTGACTTGAACATGTACAAATCTTCCAACTGGTGTAGCATACACTTACGACAATGACAAATAAAAGCAGGTGCCCATAGAAAAACATGTACAGGTGATGCAATAAATTAACCTTATGTTTTGGTTTTTCAGTTGGGAAATGGACATATGATCCTTGAAATTTTCCAGGTTTTCTGAAAGGAATCAAAAGTGAACAAATACAACAAATTTCTTACTCTTCCTGTCAAGGATTAATGAGACTCCCACTGTCCCTATCTACTATCTACTGAAAATCTAAACAAGCAAGCATTCTCAGGTATTTAGACATTGTGGGGAGATAACTCTGCCTTGAAACAAAAAGCATCAGCTACATTTTGCTTTTTTTCACTTATGATCATTTACTCCATCAGCCACACAGTTATGAACACCCTGACAAATATTTGTTTACAATTAGATGCAGTGTTTGATCAGTAAGACACACATACGTACAATTTCAATGTGACATTTTTGGTTTCATATGGGAGGTTGTAACAAAGCTGCAGCATTGAAAGGAGTTGAAATACAAAAGTCAATCATGTCTTATCTCTAAACTAAGTAATAAAATATTTCACATGTTTACATACTTGAATTATAATATTTTTAGGAATGTTCCATGAAAATGGATGACCTCATCTATTTCCCAAAATTGACTCACCGAGTGAATTCTAAAACATGAACTAAAACAATGTTTTGGTCATATATATATATGATATATGAACAATTAACAGGATAAATAATAAAGTAACTCATACGGTCCAGAAAGACACCATGAATAACAATATCGCTCTTCTTCACTTTCTCAGACAATTAAAACATTGAAGATAGTTAACAAGGTCACATATTTGACAGGATTCCGAATGCCATTTGACTACGCTATACAATAGCAGAACACCGCCATTTGCATGAGATTGTGTATATGTACATTTATCTACCGGATATTGGTGCCAGGGGTTCATGTGACCAAGCTGTCATCCTCCCTTCCTGGCCGACCTGGTGTTATTGCACTCCAGTTCTGTGTATAAAACTCATTATTGGCTTTCAAAAGGCCTGTCACACAATCACATAATGCCATAAAATGATTTCATTACATAAAAAAATCAACATTTTCATCTGCATCAAAAACAGATGTGATTCTATTCCTCATTAGGAAACATGGATGATTTCAAATCTTCAAGGGCAGGACAATGACTGCCAGGAAATGTTGACACTTTGACGCAATGCCAACCAGAGATTGGGATACTAGGTGTCCTCACACCCACATACATACACCCTGACCCTGATACCACGACACCTCGATGCCATGCCAACCAGAGACAGGGATACTAGGTGTCCTCACACCCACATACATACACCCTGACCCTGATACCACGACACCTCGATGCCATGCCATCCAGAGACAGGGATACAAGGTGTCCGGACACCCATATACAGACACCCTGATCCTGACACCAGGACACCTCAACACCATGCCACAAGGATATTCTGACACCTTGACACACAGGTACCTCTTTTTAAGACACTGGGATACTGGGTGTCTTGACCCTTACATACAGAGACACCAGGATATCCGGCACACCTGGATACACAGCACATCTGGATAGTCAGCACACCTGGATAAACACACACACCTGGACACACAGATACCTAGATATACAGCATATCTGGAAACACACACACCTGGATTCACAGACACCTGGAAACACACACACCTGGATATAGAGCGCAACTGGATACACACAGACACGTGGATATCCAGCACACTTAGATACATACAGACACCTGGATATTTAGTACAACTCACACTCTCTCTCTCTCTCTCTCTCTCACACACACATACACACTCTCTCTCTCACACACACACATACTCTCTCTCTCTCTCTCTCTCTCTCTCTCTCTCTCACACACACACACACAGAGACACACACAGACAGACACCTGGACAGACAGACACCTGGATATCCAGTACAACTGTGCATGCACACGTACACGCACACACGCACACACACCTGGATATAGAGTACAACTGGATTCAAACCCAAACACCTGCATGCACATGCACACACACACACACACACACACACACACACACACACACACACACACACACACACACACACACATACCCCTACCTGCATACACAGACACCTGGATACACACACACCTGCGCATGCACGCACAGACGAGTGCATGCATGCACACACACACACCTCTGTTTATGACACCTAGATACACAAACACCCAGACACCAGGATAAATAGACACCTTGACACCTGGATATTCGGACACTCTGGCAAGTATATACATAGCCCCATGGACACTAGGATAGAATGACACCTAAATCCACAGACAAAAGGACACATAGCCACAATTTCCCCCTGACACCTTGATATCTGGACTACTAGACATAAAGACATTCTGGCACCTGTGCACACAGACACCTGGATACCTAGGTAGTCTTGATATCACACATCTTTACCACCTGCCTAATATCCATTCATGAATCTGGAAGTACACAGAAGTTGTTTAATCATGGTGCCTTGTTAATCACAGCCTTGACCTTGCACTTGATGTGGTCAGTTATATAATTCAGATGACCTTCAGCAGTGATCACAGATTACACTAGTTTCTGGTCAGTGAGTCCGGGTCTATAAAAGCAATGTTATGACGTATATTTCCTGCTTGGATTGACTTGGATTGTCCTTTCAATAACACGATCAGTTGCTGTCAGGGTCCAAGATGACCGAGTCTAGGCTGGTTGTGCTGGGTAGTGAAGGTAACGTTTTCTGCTGCCGCCGTACGTTCCAGTGGAGGCAGTCAGCCAGACCATCGAACCAGTCGTCTATCTGGTCCTTGGCACACACCGAGGGAACTGGGTACATCGCTGTGGTGATACGTAGCCTGGAAGTGAGGGAGAGTCAGTTTTAGCTAATATGGCCATAATATATAGAATGTGAGGGAACCAGGTACATCACCATGGTTACGTATAGCCTGGAAGTGAGGGAGAGTCAGTTTTAGCTAATATGGCCATAATATATAGAATGTGAGGGAACCAGATACATCGCCATGGTGACGTATAGCCTGGAAGTGAGGGAGAGTCGGTTACAGTAACCATGGTTATACAGTGTTCACTTGACCAGGTACATCTGGACTGAAAGGCAGTGTGCGAAATAGCCACTGGCCCACTAGCCCGTGGCTAGTAAAAATCCAATGGGGCCAGCCAATCTCCCCAGTCCCTGGACTGACTGGCTAGGGAATTTTCATGAGGTTATTTTTTAAAATAAATCACTCTCTCCGACTTGTTAAGTCATAACACACTTATAAATCATGCAAAATTATGGCCTGATAAATAATGGTTTTTGACCCTTTTGTAATCTTTTGCTAAGTTTCTACATTCAGATTTTGGGCTAGTGAAGTATTTTGTGGGCTAGTAACTTTCAGGCATAGCTACCCCGACTAGCAAGCAAAATTTGGAAGCTATTTCGCACACTGCTGCAAGGTAGGTACAGTTTGTAATGCTCATTAATGTTGTTTAACCTAAGGCTTAATTAAAAAAGCCTTGTTTTTCAGGTACAGTAGTTCATTGCACATCTAAATTTCCAGACTAAAAATAAATCTGCAAATATTTTGTTCTGCTTTAGTGTGCACCTTGTGGTATGTTCACTGCAGTAGTAGGAGTTTGTTTTGTTGTCAAACTTGCTTCATGAAAATATGAAATATACAAAAAACATCACTAAAATCTTGGTTTACAATTTCAGTGTCATTTATTGACTGTATTCTAGGTATTGTTTCATCAGCAGAGACTACAAGTACCAGACGTAATTGTCTCGTAATATAATCCAGGAATAACAGTCATTGATGTTGTTTGTTGTTTAATGCCGCACTCAGCAATATTCCAGCTATATTCTTGCATTGATGTGGTCATGGTTGCTGTAAATAATGGTGACTTGGTGTGATCAGCCAACCACTCTTTTGCAAAATTAATGTAAACAATACTGAATAAAATTATGAATAAAAGCACAAAAATTAAGCTGATAATGTTTTGATCATGTGCTTCAAAACTAAAAGACAGCTACACTACACAGGAATCGAAACTTACGTGTCCCCTTGCTGAATTTCCTGTCTGTTTCGGCCGTCAAATGAAACCCAGGCGTTGTTCCGAGCCTCAGGTGACACCATGATCTGTCCAAGCAAACACACGTTTACCAGGTTTGTGGAGGTGAACACTTTCAGTAACATCATAATGCATATAATGGCGAGTTACATCTAACCATAACGTTTCTAGTTTGAACTTCACAACATTTTGGCAGCCCAAGAGACAATTTCCTACAATTCTCAAAACGGCATCATTTTCTTGGCTGGAGTTATCCCCCTTCATCTGACTTTGAGGTGAGGTGAAATTGGGTTTTACGTTGTGCTTGAAAATATTTCGCTCATATGACGACGTGCATGCGTGTGTATGTGTATGTGCGGCAGCTTGTACTAGCCTAGACTTAAGCTGGTTTTATAGTGCTAGCCCACTGAGATGCCATGCCGCAGTGAAGCATGAATACCCCACTCAGACACATTATACTGACTCCGAGCCGACCAGTCCTTGTTGTACCAATTAATGCCGAGCGCCAGGCAGGGACCAACAAGTACCATAGTTGAACGTCTTTTGGTATGACGCGGTCGGGGATCGAACCTGTGGCCTTCCGCTCTCTGGGCGGACGCTCTAACCACTACACCACGGATACGGTCCATCTGACTTTGACGCTGTTGATATGATGCATAGACTTCACCAGATGCTGAATTCTACCATCTGTAGACTTCACTAGACCATATCCGAGTACCTTCACCACAAACTCGCCAGACCATCTATACACGTCAAGATTACCATCACCCTTCCGAAAGATATGGCTTTTGACTGAACTCACTTTGATTTCTACGCCAGCCGGGACTACGACCGGCCTGAATGAGAGCGAGTGAGGGCAGATGGGTGTGATGAGGATGCAAGGAACATTGGGGTGGATCATGGAGGCACCTGCCGCAACCGCATACGCCGTGCTACCCGTTGGCGTGGAGATGATCAAGCCTGAAACAGGTTACGAACATATTTACACAGTCAAGCCAGGCGATGGTTTTGAAAGAATCGAACCATCAAGAATGGTCATGGCAAACTGAAACAACAGAATTGTCACTCACCATCTCCCTGTACTGACGTGACAAGTCGACTCTCTATATACAGGTCTATATTGCACAAGTATGGGGAAGGCCCTCGATCTATCACTACTTCATTGAGCACCTGAAACAGCAACATCACAATCAACACTGTGTACTGTATCACTGAGTTTGTTCTTGTGAGTCTTTTTGTAAACATGAAAATTGTGGATGACATCATCTTTATCATAAGACACAGAATTTCTGAGAATATTCTTACTCCTCCATCAGATGAAAGAGTCAGAAAATAATCCTCATAATTAAAAAGTTGACATCCTTAAATTCTTTAGTTTGTGTGTATTACTTCTAAAGGTGGCTGGCAATAGGTATGTATACTTACTAATATATGGGCATCCCCACATTTCTTGTCTATATTTTTTACATGAGGTATTCTGGAACACTCAGATCCCTGATTACATACAACACATTTGAGGCGGTATCGCAACAGCAGGGACGCATCACCTGAAACAAAATCATCACATTATAAAATAGTTTTGAAATGTGGCCTGTCCAAGGACTGGCTGTCCAAAAAAGTGACCAGTCCTCAACAAACACAGCCAGTCCCATAAACTAAAACAATATAAAATCAGCAAATGTTGAAACGAAAACGAGAAAGAACATGATTGATAAGACGAAGTTCAAACCAAGTTAAGTTTATGTTTTTCAAATATTTCCCCCTGACTTATTTGATAGACCCCCTTCACAGAAATAGACCGTCAAGGATGGTGGGACGGCTATATTTTATACACTGGATAATGAAAATAAACTATTGCTACCAGGATAAAACCAATCAACACAGACAGACTAACGTAAGGAGAGGAACAGTTTTTATGGATAGATAACTTGTTTATTGGAATAGATGCAGCATTTCTTTCTTGATAACGGTGTTAGCATCTACATCGAAACATGGCCTCTATTGCAATATAATGTGTTCTAAATGCCTAACGTAAGGTCCATGTCGTCCCAAATCCATGCTACTACAACTACTTAGTATTTCAATGGTAAGAGTTCCGACCGTAACCCCCGCATGTAATGTATTATATCTATCAGGATTATTTTGAGGGTTTAGGGTTAGGTTTAGGGTTTAGGTTTAGGATTAGGGTTAGGGTTTTGGTTAGGGGTTAGGTTTAGGGTTTAGGGTTTAGGGTTCGTTTTAGGCATTTCATAAAAAAACATAGGCCTCTATACTTTGGCATAGAATGATTTAAGAAAATATGGGGGTTATGGGCAGATATCTTTTCATTTCAATTAAGTCTGTTGCTGGGAAACACACTACCTTGTAAAACACTTGTGACTTGTTCCTGGAAGTTGCAGAAGTGGAATGGAGTGAGGAAGCCAAGCGACCCCATGTTGAAGGCCATCACGGGAGGAACACTTTGCTGGGGAGACAAACACACTCTGTGTGTACTCAACAACAACAACTAAATAACACAATGTACAACTTCATATCTTAGTGCTCTGAGCATGCACAAGTGCGTGGATATAGACATTTTAAAAATGTCCATTGTTATAATTATATCAACAAGTTTCAAATAGGGTTCTGGTTAGATCAAGGGGAGGTAATTTCCACAACCAAAATTAATTTCACACATACACAGAGGCCCAGATAAGCTGCGTATCCGGGTAAAATACACTTATAAAATTTCCAATTACGAATCGAAAAATAATTGTTGCGTACCAATTACGCATTTAAAATGTTAGATACGCAAAAAGTTTAAAACAAATGCGTACAGAATATATTTATAAAAATCGCTTTTGCGTAATGAAAAAGACATCGATTGCTATCAAGTTGTACTGTTAGTATAGGACAAGTGTTGTACTGTCAGTATAGGATGAGTGATTTTTTTATGAAATCATTTCCATTATATTTAAGTTGGTTTTGATTAGGTATGACATAAGGCAGAACATACCTGCTTAGTAAACTTACTCAGTGACATAATACTTAGGTGAGTAAAATGACTGAAATACGCGCATATTTGAAAGCAGTGGGTAACGGAAAATGAAATACCCACTCAACATTCATAATACCCACTCCAAAAAAATACAGTGGGTTCAGTACCCACATGAGCTAAATCTTATCTGGAGCTCTGCATACAGACCAACGCCAAGCTGAGGTTCACCTGAAACCTTACTGACACAACTATCCAATATTTCAAAAGAATTTTGACATGTCAGTTTGAGTAACTAAAGGACTGACTGATTGAGTTTGGTTTTACGCCGCTTTTAGCAATATTCCAGCAACATCACGGCAGGGGACACAAGAAATGGGCTTCACACATTGTACCCATGTGGGGATTCGAACCCGGGTCTTCGGCGTGACAAGCCAACACTTTAACCACTAGGCTACCCCACCGCCCGAGTAACTGAAGGAACCCATGCTGATGCTATCACTGGAGAGAACAGCACTGTTTTAGTCTGATTTAGGTAATATTCCATTGAACTACACCAAGTGCAATAAATGGCTTCACACATTATACCCATTAATAGAATTGAACATGGGCTTTCAACAGAACCAACGAATACTATTTAATCACGAAGCTCAGTTATATGTAGTCATAACTGTTGTCCATATCTTTCTTGTTACATATGTTCATGGAAACTACTTCACATATAACAAATTTAATTCTTGGTCATCAGTTTCTGTGTGTTGATAATAGGTACAGAAATGTATTAAAACAATTTTAGAGACCTCATTCATACAGGTGAGTTAAAAGAGAGGATGGGCCCCACACATCCCAGATTGAACCTTCCGAGATGCCTGTGCATTGACTGATGAGTTATCTCCCTTGTTCCGCACCACCTACACCTGAGGCATGTTCAGAACGTGCCTGCGAACACTAATGAGCACTCGATCCTGAACGATCTGAACAGCTGCCTCACCAAGCGAACCAAGATGCCGACCATGTTTCATGTCATTCGTCACCACTCGCCCCTTTCCATAACCTCCAACAAGAAGACAAGAAGCTATTCGGATTGTCACGGAATAACACGAGTTGGTCACGAATGGTTTAATGTAACCAAGCACTCGCGTCCGTTCAGGGCCGATGCGAGTGCTCACGAGAGGCAATAGCGCGGGCGCTCGTGGTTCTGAACACGCCTCTGTTCTGCTGTCTTTGTAGCACAGATTATACAGTTCAATCTTTACGACCCTCCCTAAAGATCTCAATACGACTCTCAAGCTAACTATTTGAAATCACCAACATTTCTAACAGAGCCTAATGCTCAAAATAATCCAAGTGTGAAAACAACTAAGCAGACTGAGTCAAAGGGTTAACGTTGAACAAAGAAACTATAACCTATAAATACACTTCACATAGTGTCCAGGATCCTGTTCAACAAAGTGATCACAGCACTAACACCCCCTGGAGCACATATTAAAGTGAAAAGTTATGTTGACATTATTTGTGCAAGAAGTCCCAATTCAACAGGCGAAACACCAAACTATAAACTAACCTGGAGCACAAATTTAAGTATAAAGTTACATTTATCACAGCACTGACATTACTTAAAGATCACATATACTCTAGGGGGGTACAAATACATAAATCACTAATTGGCATCGTTATGAATGAAACCCCGTCATTAAAACTACTCATTTCGATCTTTAATTAACTTAAATCGACCTTTTTGACAACAGTGCCTAATTCTCACCCGCGAACGAAATTTCAACCAATAAGAGGGGAGCGTCTCCATGACGTCATATGAGGAATAGATATGAGGGCCGATGTAGAATTCATGTACATTTCAGGGGGTAAATTGTCTTGTTTACAGGTTTGTATAAACCTGAAATCGTGACAACTGTTGTGAAAAATGAAAGCTATATGTTCTCACAATCTACTGTCATTTGATTTTGTCTCCTGCTTTGCCTAGTTTCCGAGTTACAACTTGTTTTCATAGACGATTCTGTCAAAATCGCTTGGTGTCGCTAGACCTTATTTGTTCGAGCCAGACACTAGTGATAGTGAAAACGATGATCAGCCTTGCTCATCACAGTTACGGTTAATTTCTTCAACCTAAACAGTGCGACACTAAGAAGGGTGGATGCCCATCAGATGCAGTTATTTGAAAATATCCCCGGTAGTTCTTGTCTGATTGTAATAAAGTAACAAAGCAGTGTGGGCTTTTTCAGATTTTCTAATGTCTGGATGGTATAATGACTGATCCAAATTGATCCCATTTCTGTGTTTATTACCTCGATATTTAATCATGTCATGTAAAAATATGATGTCTATTACGTATGATATGAAAAACTGACATTTTATTAATTTGAATCCGTAAACTAAACAACCCTACTTTGCCATTGCAAGAGGAATCTGAAAATTTACTTAGGTAAATAGGTACATACAGTTTTAGCACACAGCAAATGCTTATATGTATTTCTTATGCAACAACGAAGTTCTGTTCGTATTCTCAAAACAGTGTCGACCCATAAGTTTTCACATGCAAATAAAATTGCATGCAATACAGCAATTAATAGTCCCTTGTTGTAACCCGTGTTAGGTGGTATAAACCTACACAAGTTATTTGTCATCATTCACTTGATGGTCAGTTAATGAATTTATAACAGGTATAATTAGTGGTAACACCACTTATATTAACCGACAAAGGCATTTCTTGTGTCTGGAGTAAATATGCAACTTTATAAACATTGATCAAAGGTTTAACCGATAACACGCTGAGTGATTCATTACTTTTATCTTGCAGAGCGGATATGTCAAAAGGTAGTATTTTTGTATGTAGATTTACTCATCTATACTGAATACACTCTGTCGTAAAGTGTCTGTGTAAAAAACAATGTCCTTCTTTCAAAGGATTAACCGCCAATACATTGATTGATTGCTCATTATTGGCTACTAAATTACTTTTTTTTTAAGAATGGCGGACATTATGCAATTAGTTGCCAGGTGTGCTGTCTTAGGTGACCAATGAGACTATACACCAATGTGAAATACCTGAAACGATATATCACTTTTTCGTATATTAGACTGTTAAAAGACACATCACTTGGAACAGCTGCAGATGAATGGCATATCACTCGTTTTTGTGGATATTGATGGATATGTTCCTCGAACAAGGTAATAGCCTGACACTGTTCCTAAAACTTTAATCTGTTTTAATTTGAATATTTGCATTTTGTTTTTATTCATTTGTCGTAGCATTCAACAGAATCATTGATTTCGCCGTGAAGTGTAATGAGACAGACAACATACATTAGGTAGGGCGTGTGTGTGCGAATTATGATTGACATTGGCAAACTATAAAATGTCTAGATATTACAGTCCTGTTATAAATTCACTATAAGTATCAGCAGATCGCCTGCTTTTTATTAAGTTTCAAAATGCATACAAGTATTGAGTGAGTGAGTGAGTTTAGTTTTACGCTGCACTCAGCAATATTCCAGTTATATGGCGGCGGTCTGTAAATAATCGAGTCTGGACCAGACAATCCAGTGATCAACAGCAGGAGCATCGATCTGAACAATTGGGAACCGATGACATGTGTCAACCAAGTCAGCGAACCTGACCACCCGATCCCGTTAGTCGCCTCTTATGAGAAGCGTAGTCACCTATTGTGGCAAGCATGGATTGCTGAAGACCTATTCTACCCCGGATCTTCACGGGTCGCATACAAGTATGATAATAAACTAATTAGGATTATAAGACCAAATATAAAGACGTACATTGATTAGTATCTACATACTGGTGAGTGGACTTAACCACCTGAATGTGGCAGGAAATCTATCGCGCAGTATTGTCACTTTGACACCCACCTCGCTTCCGTGGAAGAAATCGTTATGTTACAAGTTGTGTCATGCAAAATCCTTATGGTCATGATTCAAATACATATTTAACTAGAAAGTAGTTTTGATTTTCTAACTTGATGAAAACAAACCATAATCTCATTAATTCTAACAGACTTTAGCCTGTGACTTCACGTTCTTAAAAAATGGCGGTGCCCTGTCGCGAACATCCGCATTCAGGGAGTTACAACATCAAAACTACTTTCTACTGGTAGTAAAATATGTATTTGATTGATGGCCAATAGGATTTTGTATGACATAGCTTATAACATAACAATTTCTCTCATGGAAGCGAGGTGGGTGTCAATATAATACTACTTACAATATTATTGTCACTTCGACCACAACTTCGCTTCCGAGGAAGAAAGTGTTATGTTACAAGTTGTGTCATGGAATATCTTTATGGTCATCAATCATATACATATTTTACTACAACTAGTAAGTAGTTTTGATTCTTTAACTTCCGTGAAGCGATCTGAACACAAGTAAGATATCGTTTCAGGCTTCCACAACGCTCGCTTCGCACTCACAAACATAACCCATTTAGAACAAACTGCGGGTGCTGTGAAATCTGTGCATGGTGACACCATCGCCCGAACCCTAGGAGCAATTGGCAACAACGCAAGGATTCGGCATGTCTTCGTTGATGCCAGGAAATCATCAAAATGACAAGCTTGCTACACACTTCATGTACAACTAACTGAAAATCCTTCCTCACATGACGTCACTGCAGTGCTCTGGCGACAGAGTTATGTACCCTGTCTGTGGTTTCGTTGGCGGGCGAGAGTGAAGCAGGCAACTTTTGGGCAACTTTTAATCGCTCGGTATTAATTAACCACAAGTTTTTTCGAGAATGAATTTGGTGCTCCGCATAAGACTAACCACAAATCTTTCATATGTAATGGTTAAAAGAGTACAAAAAAACAAAGTTTATTTGTTCTTTAATACAAGGAGTCCCAGGCCAGTTAACACCTTAAATCATCATGGACTTACTTGAAACAAAGACGAAGCGTAGAGCAGTGTTCCATCACCCCCGAGGCACACGATAAAGTCGATCTTGTCTGTAAGATCCTCCTCTCCTGCAACAAACATCATTTGTCTTCTATTAGCAGCTCACGCCAAAGACTCGGGTTCAATTCCCCACATGGGCACAATGTGTTAAGCCCATTTCTGGTGTCCAACCGCCGTGATATTGCTGGAATATTGCTAAAAGCGGCGTAAAACTAAACTCAGTCAGTCAGTCAGTCTATTAGCAGCAGCATAAACATTGTAAATTCTTAATGTTAAACATTGTGATCACTGCCACTGTTTGAAACATCTGAAGTTCCATTAAATGAAATCGAGTGAGTGAGTGAGTGAGTGAGTGAGTGAGTGAGTGAGTGAGTGAGTGAGTGAGTGAGAGTGAGTGAGTGAGTGAGTGAGTGAGTGAGTGAGTGAGTGAGTGAGTGAGTGAGTGAGTGAGTGAGTGAGTGAGTTAGGTTCAATACCACTTTGAACTGGCTGCATGCATTCAATACCTGGACCAACTAAACTGAATTAACCATGTTTTATCCGCTACACTAATATCATCAAGATTTTCATGTTTCAAAAATAAGTGTGGATATCATATCAAAGTCATTTGCATGCCAAACAAATTCCCAGCTACATATACATGTACGGAATTGCTTTGTTGTGACTCACCTTCTTTGAATGTCTGTATCTTGGACAGAAGGTCCTGACTGTTTGTTCGGAACAGTTTACTTGTGTCTTCCAGAACCTTCTCCTCCACATACACCACCATGTTCTTCTCCTGAAACAAGTAAGTCAGCTTAGTCAGAATATGTATATGGTAACTGCCTAGTGTGATGAGTCTCCGTCAGAGTGTGTGTAATATCAAGGTTGCTGAAGGGCAAAGTAGCTAGTGTCAAGTGTCTGTATAAGTGTCTGTATAACAGTAAGATCCATCCCTGCTGAAGGCAGAGTCTGTGTCCTGGTCTATTGAAGTCTATAGAAGCTAGCATCAAGAGTTTGTGTCAGTCTGCGTCTTGGCCTATTGAAGTCTATAGAAGCTAGCATCAAGAAGTTGTGTCAGTCTGTGTCCTGGTCTATTGAAGTCTATAGAAGCTAGCATCAAGAGTTTGTGTCAGTTTGTGTCTTGGTCTATTGAAGTCTATAGAAGCTAGCATCAAGAAGTTGTGTCAGTCTGCGTCTTGGTCTATTGAAGTCTATAGAAGCTAGCATCAACAGTTTGTGTCAGTCTGCGTCTTGGTCTATTGAAGTCTATAGAAGCTAGCATCAACAGTTTGTGTCAGTCTACGTCTTGGTCTATTGAAGTCTATAGAAGCTAGCATCAACAGTTTGTGTCAGTCTGCGTCTTGGTCTATTGAAGTCTATAGAAGCTAGCATCAAGAGTTTGTGTTAGTCTGTGTCCTGGTCTATTGAAGTCTATAGAAGCTAGCATCAACAGTTTGTGTCAGTCTGCGTCTTGGTCTATTGAAGTCTATAGAAGCTAGCATCAACAGTTTGTGTCAGTCTTGCGTCTTGGCCTATTGAAGTCTATAGAAGCTAGCATCAACAGTTTGTGTCAGTCTGCGTCTTGGTCTATTGAAGTCTATAGAAGCTAGCATCAAGAGTTTGTGTTAGTCTGTGTCCTGGTCTATTGAAGTCTATAGAAGCTAGCATCAACAGTTTGTGTCAGTCTGCGTCTTGGTCTATTGAAGTCTATAGAAGCTAGCATCAAGAGTTTGTGTCAGTCTCATGCCTTGGCCTATTGAAGTCTATAGAAGCTAGCATCAACAGTTTGTGTCAGTCTCATGCCTTGGTCTATTGAAGTCTATAGAAGCTAGCATCAACAGTTTGTGTCAGTCTGCGCCTTGGTCTATTGAAGTCTATAGAAGCTAGCATCAAGAAGTTGTGTCAGTCTCATGCCTTGGTCTATTGAAGTCTATAGAAGCTAGCATCAACAGTTTGTGTCAGTTCATGCCTTGGCCTATTGAAGTCTATAGAAGCTAGCATCAACAGTTTGTGTCAGTCTGCGTCTTGGTCTATTGAAGTCTATAGAAGCTAGCATCAACAGTTTGTGTCAGTCTGCGTCTTGGTCTATTGAAGTCTATAGAAGCTAGCATCAAGAGTTTGTGTCAGTCTGCGTCTTGGTCTATTGAAGTCTATAGAAGCTAGCATCAACAGTTTGTGTCAGTCTGCGTCTTGGCCTATTGAAGTCTATAGTAGCTAGCATCAACAGTTTGTGTCAGTCTATGCGTCTTGGCCTATTGAAGTCTATAGTAGCTAGCATCAACAGTTTGTGTCAGTTTGTGTCTTGGTCTATTGAAGTCTATAGTAGCTAGCATCAACAGTTTGTGTTAGTCTGCGTCTTGGTCTATTGAAGTCTATAGTAGCTAGCATCAAGAAGTTGTGTCAGTTTGTGTCTTCGTCTATTGACGTCTATAGAAGCTAGCATCAACAGTTTGTGTCAGTCTGCGTCTTGGCCTATTGAAGTCTATAGAAGCTAGCATCAAGAAGTTGTGTCAGTCATGCGTCTTGGTCTATTGAAGTCTATAGTAGCTAGCATCAATAAGTTGTGTCAGTTTGTGTCTTCGTCTATTGACGTCTATAGAAGCTAGCATCAACAGTTTGTGTCAGTCTCATGCCTTGGTCTATTGAAGTCTATAGAAGCTAGCATCAACAGTTTGTGTCAGTCTGCGTCTTGGTCTATTGAAGTCTATAGAAGCTAGCATCAACAGTTTGTGTCATTCTCGCGTCTTGGTCTATTGACGTCTATAGAAGCTAGCATCAACAGTTTGTGTCAGTTTGTGTCTTGGTCTATTGAAGTCTATTGTAGCTAGCATCAAGAAGTTGTGTCAGTTTGTGTCTTGGTCTATTGAAGTCTATAGTAGCTAGCATCAAGAAGTTGTGTCAGTCTGTGTCCTGGTCTATTGAAGTCTATAGAAGCTAGCATCAACAGTTTGTGTCAGTCTGCGTCTTGGTCTATTGAAGTCTATAGAAGCTAGCATCAACAGTTTGTGTCAGTTTGTGTCTTGGTCTATTGAAGTCTATAGTAGCTAGCATCAAGAAGTTGTGTCAGTTTGTGTCTTGGTCTATTGAAGTCTATAGTAGCTAGCATCAAGAAGTTGTGTCAGTCTGTGTCTTGGTCTATTGAAGTCTATAGTAGCTAGCATCAACAGTTTGTGTCAGTCTGCGTCTTGGCCTATTGAAGTCTATAGAAGCTAGCATCAACAGTTTGTGTCATTCTGCGTCTTGGTCTATTGAAGTCTATAGAAGCTAGCATCAACAGTTTGTGTCAGTCTGTGTCCTGGTCTATTGAAGTCTATAGAAGCTAGCATCAACAGTTTGTGTCAGTCTGCGTCTTGGTCTATTGAAGTCTATAGAAGCTAGCATCAAGAAGTTGTGTCAGTCTGCGTCTTGGTCTATTGAAGTCTATAGAAGCTAGCATCAAGAGTTTGTGTTAGTCTGTGTCTTGGTCTATTGAAGTCTATAGAAGCTAGCATCAACAGTTTGTGTCAGTCTGCGTCTTGGTCTATTGAAGTCTATAGAAGCTAGCATCAACAGTTTGTGTCAGTCTGCGTCTTGGTCTATTGAAGTCTATAGAAGCTAGCATCAACAGTTTGTGTCAGTCTGCGTCTTGGTCTATTGAAGTCTATAGAAGCTAGCATCAAGAGTTTGTGTCAGTCTGCGCCTTGGTCTATTGAAGTCTATAGAAGCTAGCATCAACAGTTTGTGTCAGTCTGCGTCTTGGTCTATTGAAGTCTATAGAAGCTAGCATCAAGAGTTTGTGTCAGTCTGCGTCTTGGTCTATTGAAGTCTATAGAAGCTAGCATCAACAGTTTGTGTCAGTCTGCGTCTTGGTCTATTGAAGTCTATAGAAGCTAGCATCAAGAGTTTGTGTCAGTCTGCGTCTTGGTCTATTGAAGTCTATAGAAGCTAGCATCAACAGTTTGTGTCAGTCTGCGTCTTGGTCTATTGAAGTCTATAGAAGCTAGCATCAACAGTTTGTGTCATTCTGCGTCTTGGTCTATTGAAGTCTATAGAAGCTAGCATCAACAGTTTGTGTCAGTTTGTGTCTTCGTCTATTGAAGTCTATTGTAGCTAGCATCAACAGTTTGTGTCAGTTTGTGTCTTCGTCTATTGAAGTCTATAGAAGCTAGCATCAACAGTTTGTGTCAGTCTGCGTCTTGGTCTATTGAAGTCTATAGAAGCTAGCATCAACAGTTTGTGTCAGTCTGCGTCTTGGTCTATTGAAGTCTATAGAAGCTAGCATCAATAAGTTGTGTCAGTCTGCGTCTTGGTCTATTGAAGTCTATAGAAGCTAGCATCAATAAGTTGTGTCAGTCTGCGTCTTGGTCTATTGAAGTCTATAGAAGCTAGCATCAACAGTTTGTGTTAGTCTGTGTCCTGGTCTATTGAAGTCTATAGAAGCTAGCATCAACAGTTTGTGTCAGTCTGCGTCTTGGTCTATTGAAGTCTATAGAAGCTAGCATCAACAGTTTGTGTCAGTCTGCGTCTTGGTCTATTGAAGTCTATTGTAGCTAGCATCAACAGTTTGTGTCAGTTTGTGTCTTCGTCTATTGAAGTCTATTGTAGCTAGCATCAACAGTTTGTGTCATTCTGCGTCTTGGTCTATTGAAGTCTATAGAAGCTAGCATCAACAGTTTGTGTCAGTTTGTGTCTTGGTCTATTGAAGTCTATTGTAGCTAGCATCAACAGTTTGTGTCAGTCTGTGTCTTGGTCTATTGAAGTCTATTGTAGCTAGCATCAAGAGTTTGTGTCAGTCTGTGTCCTGGTCTATTGAAGTCTATAGAAGCTAGCATCAACAGTTTGTGTTAGTTCTGCGTCTTGGTCTATTGAAGTCTATAGTAGCTAGCATCAACAGTTTGTGTTAGTCTGCGTCTTGGTCTATTGAAGTCTATAGTAGCTAGCATCAAGAAGTTGTGTCAGTCTGTGTCCTGGTCTATTGAAGTCTATAGAAGCTAGCATCAACAGTTTGTGTTAGTCTGGGTCTTGGTCTATTGAAGTCTATAGTAGCTAGCATCAACAGTTTGTGTTAGTCTGCGTCTTGGTCTATTGAAGTCTATAGTAGCTAGCATCAAGAAGTTGTGTCAGTCTGTGTCCTGGTCTATTGAAGTCTATAGAAGCTAGCATCAACAGTTTGTGTTAGTCTGGGTCTTGGTCTATTGAAGTCTATAGTAGCTAGCATCAACAGTTTGTGTTAGTCTGCGTCTTGGTCTATTGAAGTCTATAGTAGCTAGCATCAAGAAGTTGTGTCAGTCTGTGTCCTGGTCTATTGAAGTCTATAGAAGCTAGCATCAACAGTTTGTGTTAGTCTGTGTCCTGGTCTATTGAAGTCTATAGAAGCTAGCATCAACAGTTTGTGTTAGTCTGCGTCTTGGTCTATTGAAGTCTATTGTAGCTAGCATCAAGAAGTTGTGTCAGTCTGTGACTTGGTCTATTGAAGTCTATAGTAGCTAGCATCAAGAGTTTGTGTCAGTCTGTGTCTTGGTCTATTGAAGTCTATAGTAGCTAGCATCAATAAGTTGTGTCAGTTTGTGTCTTCGTCTATTGAAGTCTATAGAAGCTAGCATCAAGAAGTTGTGTCAGTCTGTGTCCTGGTCTATTGAAGTCTATAGAAGCTAGCATCAACAGTTTGTGTTAGTCTGCGTCTTGGTCTATTGAAGTCTATAGTAGCTAGCATCAAGAAGTTGTGTCAGTCTGTGTCCTGGTCTATTGAAGTCTATAGAAGCTAGCATCAACAGTTTGTGTTAGTCTGCGTCTTGGTCTATTGAAGTCTATAGAAGCTAGCATCAACAGTTTGTGTCAGTTTGTGTCTTGGTCTATTGAAGTCTATAGTAGCTAGCATCAAGAGTTTGTGTCAGTCTGTGTCTTGGTCTATTGAAGTCTATAGTAGCTAGCATCAATAAGTTGTGTCAGTTTGTGTCTTCGTCTATTGACGTCTATAGAAGCTAGCATCAACAGTTTGTGTCAGTCTGCGTCTTGGTCTATTGAAGTCTATAGAAGCTAGCATCAATAAGTTGTGTCAGTCTGTGTCTTGGTCTATTGAAGTCTATAGAAGCTAGCATCAATAAGTTGTGTCAGTCTGTGTCTTGGTCTATTGAAGTCTATAGAAGCTAGCATCAATAAGTTGTGTCAGTCTGTGTCTTGGTCTATTGAAGTCTATAGAAGCTAGCATCAACAGTTTGTGTCAGTTTGTGTCTTGGTCTATTGAAGTCTATAGTAGCTAGCATCAAGAGTTTGTGTCAGTCTGTGTCTTGGTCTATTGAAGTCTATAGTAGCTAGCATCAATAAGTTGTGTCAGTTTGTGTCTTCGTCTATTGACGTCTATAGAAGCTAGCATCAACAGTTTGTGTCATTCTGCGTCTTGGTCTATTGAAGTCTATAGTAGCTAGCATCAAGAGTTTGTGTCAGTCTGTGTCTTGGTCTATTGAAGTCTATAGTAGCTAGCATCAATAAGTTGTGTCAGTTTGTGTCTTCGTCTATTGACGTCTATAGAAGCTAGCATCAACAGTTTGTGTTAGTCTGTGTCCTGGTCTATTGAAGTCTATAGAAGCTAGCATCAACAGTTTGTGTTAGTCTGCGTCTTGGTCTATTGAAGTCTATAGAAGCTAGCATCAAGAGTTTGTGTCAGTCTGTGTCTTGGTCTATTGAAGTCTATAGAAGCTAGCATCAACAGTTTGTGTTAGTCTGCGTCTTGGTCTATTGAAGTCTATAGAAGCTAGCATCAACAGTTTGTGTCAGTTTGTGTCTTGGTCTATTGAAGTCTATAGTAGCTAGCATCAAGAGTTTGTGTCAGTCTGTGTCTTGGTCTATTGAAGTCTATAGTAGCTAGCATCAATAAGTTGTGTCAGTTTGTGTCTTAGTCTATTGAAGTCTATAGAAGCTAGCATCAACAGTTTGTGTTAGTCTGCGTCTTAGTCTATTGAAATCTATAGTAGCTAGCATCAAAAAGTTGTGTCAGTCTGTGTCCTGGTCTACTGAAGTCTATAGATGCTAGCATCATGACGTTGTGTCAGTTTGTGTCTTCGTCTATAGATGCTAGCATAAAGAAGTTGTGTCAGTCTGTGTTTTGGTTTATTGAAGTCTATAGAAGCTAGCGTCAACAGTTTGTGTCAGTCTGTGTCCTGGTCTATTGAAGTCTATAGAAGCTATCATCAAGAAGTTGTGTCAGTCTGTGTCTTGGCCTATTGAAGTCTATAGATGCTAGCATCAAGAAGTTGTGTCAATCTGTGTCTTGGTCTATTGAAGTCTATAGAAGCTACCATCAAGAAATTGTGTCAGTCTGTGTCTTGGTCTATTGAAGTCCATAGATGCTAGCATCAAGAACTTGTGTCAATCTGTGTCTTGGTCTATTGAAGTCAATAAGTAGCTAGCATCATGAAGTTGTGTCTGTGTCTTGGTTTATTGAAGTCTACAATAGCTAGCATCAAGAGTCTGTGTCACTAACAAGCCAACAAACTAAAAACTAAAAAACTGACACACATTGAAAACAGGTTATAGATTTGTAATATTCTGGTATTTGCAAACTTGTCTCACCTCTATAAGCCAGACAATGAGGTCTTTGAATGGAATGATAATGGATTCATCAAACATCTTCCTGACCACCAGGACAGACAGGGGAGGTTTGTGCCACTTCAACTTCTGACAACCCGGATCGGGAATGGTTCTGAAAAAAATCACATTGAAACTTACAATAAATTCTACTGCTGTAAATATTATTCACATTCTCTAGACATGTGAAACCTAGATTACTGTGCTCTTAAGGTTAAATACACAAATCAGTTTGGAATCAAGCTTACGTTAGTTAGTGAAGAGCTTTGGAGAAAAAGGTAATATGAGACTTTCTATAGTCCTTGGCCCAGTCCTTACCAGTGAAGGTGTTTAATAGTTTTGTTGTTTTGTTCCAACATGCATAATCCATGTCCCTACCTTTAGTGTGTGTTTGTCCCTATCATAAGTACGATGATTGTCAGGAACAGAGCTTTATGGATGTCAGTTTCTGTATTATGAGGAACACAATGTTTCGGAGTATATCCAAATATGACCATTCATCAGATGAAAGAGTAGGGATACACTCCAAAACGTTGTGTTCCTCATAATTCTCTTCCTTATGTGTGGATCACTTTGTCTTAAGTATGTGCTTTTCTTCATCTGAAGAGTGTGCTTGTCCTTCAATGTGTGCTTCTCCATATATTAAGCATGTGCTTTTCTTCATCTGAAGTGTGTGCTTGTCCTTCAATGTGTACTCCTTAACTTAAGTATGTGCTTTTCTTCATCTGAAGTGAGTGCTTGTCCTTAAATGTGTGCTTCTCCTTAAGTATGTGCTTTTCTTCATCTGAAGTGCATGCTTGTCCTTAAATGTGTACTCCTTATCTTAAGTATTTGCTTTTCTTCATCTGAAGAGTGTGCTTGTCCTTAAATGTGTACTCCTTATCTTAAGTACGTGCTTTTCTTCATCTGAAAAGTGTGCTTGTCCTTAAATGTGTGCTTCTCCTTATCTTAAGCATGTGCTTTTCTTCATCTGAAGAGTGTGCTTGTCCTTCAATGTGTGCTTCTCCATATATTAAGCATGTGCTTTTCTTCATCTGAAGTGTGTGCTTGTCCTTAAATGTGTACTCCTTATCTTAAGTATGTGCTTTTCTTCATCTGAAGTGAGTGCTTGTCCTTAAATGTGTGCTTCTCCTTAAGTATGTGCTTTTCTTCATCTGAAGTGAGTGCTTGTCCTTAAATGTGTGCTTCTCCTTAAGTATGTGCTTTTCTTCATCTGAAGTGTGTGCTTGTCCTTAAATGTGTACTCCTTATCTTAAGTATGTGCTTTTCTTCATCTGAAGTGTGTGCTTGTCCTTAAATGTGTGCTTCTCCTTACCTTAAGTATGTGCTTGTCCTTCTCTAAGTGCATGTTATTTTCTTAAGAGTGTGTCTGTCATTCGTTATGATTCAAAAGTGTAAAGAGATGCTCTACCCACTAGCAAATGGATGTAGCGTCCTGTACACAAATGGAAACATCTTACTGAGTCATGGAGTCTGCAATCATTTCAGAGGGGAAGCATTTCTTCACAGACATGCTAAACATAAGATTACCATTAACATCCAGCAGATGTTTGATTGGCATTTAGAAGTTGGAAGGTGGTATGGATTTACAACTTCTTTAATATTTACAACACAACGTTTCTGGGCTACTTCTTGCCCCTTCATCAGGTGAATGACAGAATATGGTGAGAGCACAATATATAGTATGTACAGGAAGCCAGTGAGATAGTAATACCGATTGAGATCCTATCATGCTTATCATTTTCATTGTATAAACATTCTGTACATCCATTGCATAAACTAGCCACTTAATCTCTTTCATCTCTGCAATTCTCAATCAAAACACATCACTTTATCTCTGTACATCTCAATCGGTAATACTATCTCACTGGCTTCCTGTACATACTATATATTTCACACCATATTCTGTCATTCACCTGATGAACAGGCAAGAAGTAGCCCAGAAACACCGTGTTGTAAATATTAAAGAAGTTGTAAATCCATACCATACATTGTCTGTGTGTCCAGCAGTTTCTAGGTGGGGTTGCTACGGAATCTCTAATGGAACATATCATGTAATCAGTGATACTACCAAAACATTTCTAAAACATTCTACTGGGACACAGCAATAGTGGTGACAAAAATTGAAATAGATTTTGTGTTCAAACAAGAGGATTGGACCATCTGAATGTCATGCTATAGCTATGTCAGTTGACCAATGGCTGAACAGGCAGCTGTGTCTTCATCACAGTAATGGTTGGATCTCTTAATGGAGCCTTTGCTGAGTAATGGCTGTATGACATGCTCGGAAACTGTGACACATGTGTGATGACATGACTAAATGTAAGTCAATTTGGTTTAATATCACTTGCAGGGGTGGAAAGAACTTTAAAATTGCTAGTGTACTCCGGTACAGTGGCACATGTAAAATCACTTGCCCTGATCAATTTTCCACTATACCAGCCGTTTTCTTGCTGATTTTTTAAATAAACAACATAATTAATATTGGAAAGTCAACTGGACACCAGTACAGTGTGATATACAAATTTGCTTGCCCGACAGAAAAAAACACTGGACTCGGGCATCGGGCAATGGGTTATTTCCACCCCTGACTTGAATGGTATTTATCTTTGTTTTACTTGTTGCTTAACACGACATCCAGCAATTTTCCAGCTATATGACAGTGGTCTGTAAATAACTGAATCAGAACCACACAATCCAGTGATTGACATCATGAGCTCAATCTTCACAAGGGTTGTTAAAGATTAATTCTTCAAAGGTGAAAGTTACATCACTGCAAGATACAATTATGATTCATTGGTTTCAGTATCGATTCATATTTTGACATATATCGATTATTGTTTTGATGTTGCCCTGATATTTCATGTAAACATTTTTTTGTTAAATACAAACAGGACATTAATAAAAGTGAACTTAACACATTTTTCTCTTGTAATTTTGTTATACAGAACATCAAATGTGACTAGACTTGGTCAGTGTGGTTGATGGATACTTGGCTGATACCCAGTCCTCCCTTCTCTTGTAATCTCTACCAACATAGTTGGTGACTGGTGAGCTATGATATGAGTTTGCCATCCAGGTAATGATTGCGTGTTACACGCAAAATGTTGGTAATGAATTACATTTGTATTGCGATATGTATCGTATTGTGACCTCAGTATTGAGATATGTATCACGACATCCCTATAATAAAGGGAAGTAATAATTTCACTACTTCAGCACTCTATACAATTGTGAAGTGTGAATGAGTGCCCTTTGGGTGAGGTGAGGTGAAACTGGGTTTAACGTCGAGCTTGAGCATATTTCGCTCATATGGCATGTGTATGTGCGGCTGCTTCTACTAGCCCAGACTTAAGCCCAGGTTTTATAGAGCTAGCTCACTGTAGCCTCGTGGTTAAAGCGTTGGCTCATCATGCCAAAGATCTGGGTTTGATTCCCCACATGGGTACAATGTGTGAAGCCCATTTCTGGTGTCCCCCGCCGTGATATTGCTGGAATATTGCTAAAAGCGGCGTAAAACTAAACACACTCACTCACACACTGAAACAGGTTTAACTAATGTTCAGCTACATAGCAACAAGCAAGACACTTACACCACATACATCACGAACACAATAAATCCCTGCCCACTGGACTCTCACTTTACGCTTTGAGCATGTGGTCCAGTGCACAGGTGACAGGTCACACATTTGATGAAGTAAAACAAATCAGGCGAATGCTGGTTGCACAGAGTAGATCGATGGGTGACCATGTTCGACAGCTTGGCTCCTGAAAGTTCCAAAGGATTGGTCCTTCCCCCACTGAAACACAGGTTATATCGGGTGTCTCCTTTGGTTTGAGACTTTGTTTCTAATATGCCTCTGTTGACCTATCAGTAGGTGGGTACCCAGTAGTATGAGATGGTGATGTATCAGTAAAATCTTGCACTTCATATGGTAATATAATACTATACTCCCGAGGGGATGAAAATGAAATCTGAGTGCACACTGATCCAGTATAATAATAATAATAATGTACAGGCATGCGAATTCGCCTGGTGAATGGGATGTAATGCATTATAAACTGACTTGCTATTATCATAAATCATGACAAACACTGACAGCACATGTCATGTGTAGAGATAAATTGTCAAAATAACACTGATAGAAAGCAATATACGCTTTGTAGTAACATTCTCGTTCCCAGGCAACAAAATTTAAAACAATAGTTATCATTGTGTATAAAACTACTGCTGTTACATAAGAGCCTTTAATTATTGCCTGTTGACTGACAGACAAAGAGGAATTTATGTAAAAGAGGTAGGTTATTCCAAGAAATTGTTCACAGTTGTCCTGTTGTTGCACATGGATTTATAGCCTTAGGCCACACCAATTTTATTTCTTGTTTTACGGATCTGCCGAACGTATTTTTTCAAGAATAAGAACAAACTTAAAATTAATTTTCCCCGCTCAAAAAATAAAATCCTAATGTTTTTATTGGCCAAAAATGTAAACTTACAAGAAAATGTTTTTTGGATTGTTTTTTTTCCCATATACACTTCATAAATTGTCAAAAGTAAAATACTTTAATATTTAGAAGGATATTACATTGATTGGTGATTTTATTTTTTTTCCCTCTTGCCTTTAGGTTTTCTGAGGACAAAAATCCATAAAACAAGAAATATAATTGATCTGGCCTCGGGATGAATTACACATTAGAAGCTGGTATCACAGGTTGTCAAAATATCAGCTGAACTGCTTGGGCAGAAATGCCAACCCCAAAGTGTTGCAGATAGCAGTTTCAAGGATCAAAATTAGTAGTTTGACCATAAAATTAGAGGTAAGGTGAAATTGGGTTTAACGTCGTGCTTGACAATAATTCGCTCATATGACAACGTGCATGCGTGTGTATGTGTATGTGCGGCTGCTTGTACTAGCCCACTCAGATACATTATACTGACTCCGAGCCGACCAGTCCTTGTTGTACCCATTAATGCCGAGCGCCAGGCAGGGACCAGCAAGTACCATATTTTAACGTCTTTGGTATGACGCGGGCGGACGCTCTAACGACTACACCACGGAGGCGGTTCATAAAATTAGAAGTCAACTAAATACTTAAAATCATGATGGATTCTGAGAAAGATAATATGACACTAATCAAGAGTGAAGCTTTAATTTCACATACCTTCAACAGCAGATTTCCAAATTGTTACTTGCAATGATTCCAGTTCAAATGTGTCATTAAATTTAATGAATGGAAGGTTAGTGAAGTTCAAAAAAATGTATTTAATGGACGAAAATGTATGTTTTTGTCTTTATAGCTGAATTTTAATGAATTTTCTTCAGATTTCGTAGAATTTGTAGTGCAATCATATTGACGTAGTTTGAGGATAATATTCGTAGCGACTACGATAAAATCGTAGAGGTTGGCATCTCTGCTTGGATAGTTGGGGTTCCTATGATCAGAATAACAGCAAAGTTATGGAGTAGGAGACATCAACAAAGGCCCGCAGTCATACGAGAGAAGAATCATTGTCATAAAGATTGTTAATGATACTGATACACTCCCCTATCCACATCTGAGTCTGTCTACATGTTATAAACAGCAAATAAACACACTCAGTTTTACAGCTGACATTGAATTGTCAGGTCAGTTTCACAGTGCACATGAAGATCAGAGAGGTGAACAGGTACAGTTTGGTAGCCCTAACAACACCAAAGCCCTGGCATTCTGGCACAGAGTAAGTTGAAGCAGTGCTTGTACTTTTGTGACACAGAATTGTTTATGGCTTGCAGATTACAATGTTCAGCTTCAGAAAGCTTTTTACATCATTCTATGATGAAACTATGTAATCCATAGTCGGAATATGTGATTGTTTATGATACAGTTTTTCTATCATGATTGGGGGATTTTATGAGATGCTTTAATCAAACGGGGTGAATTTGAGTAGACATAACACTGTGACAGAATCAACTGGCATTAAGCAGGGCTGACTGAAAAGGTGGATTTGAGAAGGATTATTAATATGAAACTTGTATACAGAAACATACCCTAGCCAAAATCTGAATACAGAAACGTACCCTAGGACCACAGGCCCTCATGTCTTTGCAAGGATTAAAGATGTTAAGAAAAATATAAAAATATGGAGGTGCCCCCCCCAACTTGCTTCACAGTAGAATACATTATGACAAGGCCGGACACTGTAAAGCAGGTGTACTCTACCCACCTGCTTTACCAATAGCTACCATCGCATACAATCGATTAAAACTTAATGTAAACATAATCTGGGGTGTGATCGAAGCAAGCCCTCTGATTGGCCAAAGCTTGCAAATCTGCACATTCTTTATAAATTCGCAGGAATTTTTCCTTTCGACTGCTAAATGTAAGAATATTTTTCGAGCAATGGCTTCTCCAAAGAAAGCATCAGTTGTAAATGTCACCATAATAAGCATCAACCAGCCAGAGGGCTTGCTTCGACAACACTCCCGTTTTGTGCGGACACATCGTCATCCATTTGTGTCAAGATCGTTTAGTTGGGGGTCAATATCGGGTTGCAATCGACTTGCAGAATTAACAATAAAGAATTAGAAGGTGCCATGAGTGGTGATCGATAAGCCAGTCATCCATGATTATGTTTACATTAAGGGGGGTAGGGTACACCAAAGTGTCCGGCCTTTTCATAATGTATTGTACTATGTAGCATTTCGAGGGGTCATCTCAAAATTATTTTTTTAACCTTTAATCTTCACAAAGACACGAGGGCCTGTGCCTAGTACGGGTCCATTCTGCATTGTGTCGTTTTCTTGATCGAAATGTCATACTGCTGTCTTAGATACACTTGATTGCGTTTTATAAGAAACAAGCATACACAGTAACAAATAATTCGCAATGTACAATACCACTATTCCACTCGCAGTTAGCTGAGCATGAATAACTACAAGCGGTTTGGTTTTGTTTTGCGGGACATGGTCTTGTCTGCCGTGTAAGGTGCCGGGTATGTTTCTGTATTTTGTCTTTGTTTAGGGTACATTTCTGTATACAGAAACGCACCTGGGGTACACATCGGTCGTACCTGTGCTAACAAGGACCCCTTCAGCATCAGTAAACCATGCATTAATTTGTCAACACTTATCTGTGATTTTAACTATCTTGATTTTGCATAGGATTTTTTAGATTTATTGCTCAAAGTAACCTCACCGATATTTATTCATAATCCATCAATATTAGTACATATAATAGATATTCTCTATGGCTTTTATCGACAACCAACCAATGTATTAAACACTTACTGAGTACTGTGGAGTACCCTCCATCTCATGACACAAACCTTTAAGTGGCTTAAATTTACAATCTTTCACCTTAGGCCAGACCAATTTTATTTCTTGTTTTACAGATTTTGTCCTCAGAAAACCTAAAGGCAGGAGGAAATTTATTTTATAAAGTCAAGGCAAAAAACGGCATGAGTTTCCAACTCTTTTGGTTTGTTTCTATCAACTAAAAATATGATGAGTGAGGTTAGGTTTCACTCTGATTTCAAGAGTATTTCACTTACATCACATTAATATAAGGATTTTATTTTTGGAGCGGGGGAAAACTTTTCTTTCTTTTTTTTTCTTATTCTTTGAAAAAATATGACTGGCAGATCCGTAAAACAAGAAATAAAATTGGTCTGGCCTTAGTTTGGAATATAAGTGAGTTAGTGAGTGAGATGTATTTAACGCTACACATATGAGTGTATCAGTTACATCGACATTGTCTGCTTGATGTGTCAGAGAGCCCAGGGTCTCCTTTCACGAGCACTAAGGTGATTGTAAGTCACTAAGGTAACCTTAGTGCAATGTTAAAGAATGGGAGGTAAGGTTAACCTTAGTAAAGGTTGCTTCATGAAAGGACCCCCAGGACATCTGTAAGTCTGATAAAAAGCATGAGCATGGATGTTGACCAAACTGGAAACAAAATCAAGCTGAACTGGGATTTGATTCAATGATCATAGGAGATGCAAATCTGATGTTGCCTTAGACTGGGTTGTCTGTTCCCTGTATTTACTAAGAGACATTCCAATATAACAAATTCACTATAATATGAACTGAACAGAATTGAACTGAAATGAATATGCAATATAAGCAGTTGCAGACCTGAAAATATCAATTACATATGGGTCCACTTCAAAGGTCTTGCAGTGCAAATATAGCCAGAAACCAGTCTATATTTTACAGGATCAAACATTATTGTTATTTTGTGAGCAGATATTCCTGTGCAGGGATTGGTGAAATTGAGTACAGAAAACTGTGATGAATAGAAATAATATAAAGGGTTAAGCCAACAAAGTGGGGTTTAAGTGACTGAACCTAAACTTGAACCTGGCGTGTCATCAACAGATCATAATACATTGTTAACATAATAATAGGTAATACAGTAGAATACTTTTATAACGAACACGGATATAACGAACTGACGGCTATAGCGAATGTTTAAAAGTCCCGAATAAACCTTATATTATCATATAAAAAAGTGAATAGCGAACTACAGATATAATGAACTAATTTCAGTGGTCCCTTAGAGTTCGTTATAAAGGTATTTTACTGTACTATGTCTATCCAAGCATAAGAAAATTCTCTACTCTAATAAGCAGTAAAAATCAAAATATATTACAAAATCTTGCCCTGTTCATTCACAATGCAATGTTGTATAGAACAAATGTTTTATCACTGTAATGTAAATATATTTATTTATGTAATTCCCCATGATATATGTACTATAAGCCTGTGGCCTCTTCAGTATGAAATAAAGATTGATTGATTGATTGAATTAGATAGGACAGAGGGAACATATCAAGTGCGCCATGGATTTATGACCTGAAGACATACTGGACAGAAAACTTTGTTGAGTCATGAAGTAGTTCCAAAAAAGGGATCTTTTCACTACAGTGAACATATCAAATTTCTGTCACTGGCGGGAAAATATCACTTTTCTCAAACACAGAAATCTCAGTCTTTCATGCTAAAGTACACAATAAATCATTTACATTACCCGTTTTAGAGAAAACGAAAACAAAGGTCAGTAACTCTATCGCTGGCCACCATCACATGACATGATCACATTATGTACAAGGGATGACGTCAACCACAGTTATTTGGCAACAAGACATTTATCTGACTTTCACAATGCTCTGGGACTCTTCACAAACACTGAAAACAGCTGAACAACTGTAACAAACTCGGGATATATTTGCACAGGGTGTAGCTTGCTTAGTTCGTTCCGTAGTAGCAGTGTGCTTGGTATGTTGGCAAATAACCTTTAACTGTGCAGTAGTCAAATAATCAACGTTCACCTTTCATTATTAAGTGATAAGCGCAATAGACATTTCAAAAGATTGCCAAAACGTATAAATATGCACTTCAATACTGTAAATTTGGAATAAACACATTATTATAACACACAGAATAAACACATACTGCCAAGTTGGAGTATATTCATGTATTCCATTTCTTGAATAGGTATCTTTCACTTTATAAAAAGGTACCAGGCATATGTAGTAAGTTTTTTCTACAACTACCCTTCAGGCTTTATTGCCTTGTTTCCTGACCATACATCAGTATAATCTGATTCAAGTTCAGACATAACTCTACAGAAAGTTCCCTGGTGATGAGAACATATCGCGAGTTTTCTCTACAACTACCCTTCAGGCCATTATATTGCAAAGCTTCCTAAGCATACATCAGTGTTTTTTTATTCAAGTTCAGACGTAACTCTACAGAAAGGTCCCAGGAGAACATTGTATGAGTTTTCTCTACAACAACCCCCAGGCCACATTGCCTTGTTTCCTGACCATACATCAGTGTATTCTGATTCGAGTTCAGACATAACTCTGCAGAAAGGTCCCAGGAGAACATTCGCGAGTTATCTCTACAACAACCCCCAGGCCACATTGCCAAGCTTCCTAAGCATACATCAGTGTTTTCTGATTCAAGTTCAGACATAACTCTACAGAAAGGTCCCAGGAGAACATTCGCGAGTTTTCTCTACAACAACCCCCAGGCCACATTGCCAAGCTTCCTAAGCATACATCAGTGTTTTCTGATTCAAGTTCAGACATAACTCTACAGAAAGGTCCCAGGAGAACATTGTATGAGTTTTCTCTACAACAACCCCAGGCCACATTGCCAAGCTTCCTAAGCATACATCAGTGTTTTCTGATTCAAGTTCAGACATAACTCTACAGAAAGGTCCCAGGAGAACATTGTATGATTTTTTCTACAACAACCCCCAGGCCACATTGCCAAGCTTCCTAAGCATACATCAGTGTTTTCTGATTCAAGTTCAGACATAACTCTACAGAAAGGTCCCAGGAGAACATTCGCGAGTTTTCTCTACAACAACCCCCAGGCCACATTGCCAAGCTTCCTAAGCATACATCAGTGTTTTCTGATTCGAGTTCAGACATAACTCTACAGAAAGGTCCCAGGAGAACATTGTATGAGTTTTCTCTACAACAACCCCCAGGCCACACTGCCAAGCTTCCTAATCGTTCATAAGTGTTTTCTGATTTCAGTTTATTGATGACTTTGCGTAAGGATACCTTGAGTACATATCATCAATTCTCTAAAACAACCCTTCAACCCAGACTGCCAACCTTCCTAGTTGTTCATAAGTGTATTCTGATTCCAGTTCATAGATGATTTTATACATTACCTTGAGTACATATCGTGGGTTTTCTCTACAACAACCCTTCAGCCCAGATTGCCAAGTGTAACGTATGTTATATTTGGGATTACACTTTCTTAGTAAAGTACAGATTCTAGTACTTTTTTGGGGTTGAGTCCCTTCCGGGATTCGAACCCACACCCTCAGAGTCAGGCACCTTATCACCAGCACACAAAGTCACACGATTAGGTGCCTGACTCTGAGGGTGTGGGTTCGAATCCCTGATGGGACTCAACCCCCCAAAAGTACTAGAATCTGTACTTTACTAAGAAAGTGTAATCCCAAATATAACATACGTTACATTTGACCACTTTCTAAAATGGCATTGTGTATTTCAGACTACCAGCTCCACTATACACAGCCACCCTGTCACTATACACATCCACCCTGTCACAATACACAGCCACCCTGTCACTATACACAGCCACCCTGTCACTATACACATCCACCCTGTCACAATACACAGCCACCCTGTCACAATACACTGCCACCTTGTCACTATACACAGCCACCCTGTCACATCCCTCACCCATACAGCTAGGTAGACGCTGTATCCATTGCTACTCACCCGTACAGCTGACCAGGTGTTTTCATTAACGATAACCGATCCATTAACTTCCACGTCGCCAAAACTAACCTGTAGATGGTGTTGTTATTGTCATCCATGCTCCACCACTGACAGCATCGTCGTCAACAACACTTTACAAGCATTGCCCTGAAGGAGGAAGAAAATTAACCACTGTGGAACTGAGTGGCAGTCTTCACCAAACTGTCAACTGGTCCCAGGTGTCCTACGCCACTCTTCACATGCTCTGCTTGAATGGACTTATATGGGGCAATGGGTTTCTGGTTGATAACAAAGATCTACCATGTGTACTGCAGGGTATAGTCATCATTCACTATCAACAATGAACAGCTCTGAGGAACTCCATACACATAGAGTTCTGAATACAAGGGAAGTAACTCTTTATCACTGTCTATTGTAATGTCAGTTACCCATCATAAAAGGCTGTCATAAACAGTCAATTGACTTCCATCAACAAAACAAATCCAATGTTGTGAACGTTTTTACACAAAAGTACATCCTCCTGATATCGTAAACAGGTACGTGCTACATGTACCGTACGCAGGTCGCGGTTCGCTTGCTCCTATTAATACATACACAGCTCGACACTTGGGCTACTGCAGAAGTTGCCTGACACAGTTCTGCACTGGACTGTAAGTGTTCTACACTGTCCTAGCGTTCTACACTGTCCTAGCAACACTATTCTACACTGTGTTAGCTACACTGTTCTATAGTGTTCTGCACAATCCTACACGGGAGTGTCACTGTCGGCTCGCTTCAAATCCTGGTCTCTCATAACAATCCCACTCAGGTGTCAACTCTCTATGGTCACAGCCATGATTTCTGTCAAAACAAATTCAGAGTCATCAGTTAGCGATGGTTAGTGATGTATAAGATGAGGTTAAAATTTGTGTCAGTATCTGGTCCGGACAGGTGATGATCCATTTGTGCTTAGCAACCATGATAGTGAAAACAGCTTCACTTCATTATAAGGGAGATATTTACACATGGGGGATGGTTACATACAAGTTAAACATACTGGTGGATGTACAAAATAAATATTCCTGGTGGCTGTACTACTTTAACATTAAACAGGATAAATACACACATTTACTACACTAGGCTGACTAAATTGACAAACCAGACCGGATATACACATTTACTACACTTAGGAAAGCTGATTACCTTGACAAACCAGACCGGATATACACATTTACTACACAAGGCTGATTACCTTGACAAACCAGACCGGATATACACATTTACTACACTTAGGAAAGCTGATTACCTTGACAAACCAGACCGGATATACACATTTACTACACAAGGCTGATTACCTTGACCCAGACAAACCAGACCGGATATACACATTTACTACACTTAGGAAAGCTGATTACCTTGACAAACCAGACCGGATATACACATTTACTACACAAGGCTGATTACCTTGACAAACCAGACTGGATATACACATTTACTACACTTAGGAAAGCTGATTACCTTGACAATTCCAGACCGGATATACACATTTACTACACTAGACTGATTACCTTGACAAACCAGACCGGATATACACATTTACTACACAAGACTGATTACCTTGACAAACCAGACCGGATATACACATTTACTACACAAGACTGATTACCTTGACAAACCAGACCGGATATACACATTTACTACACTTAGGAAAGCTGATTACCTTGACAAACCAGACCGGATATACACATTTACTACACAAGGCTGATTACCTTGACAAACCAGACCTGATATACACATTTACTACACTTAGGAAAGCTGATTACCTTGACAAACCAGACCTGATATACACATTTACTACACAAGACTGATTACCTTGACAAAACAGACCGGATATACACATTTACTACACTAGACTGATTACCTTGACAAACCAGACCTGATATACACATTTACTACACTAGACTGATTACCTTGACAAACCAGACCTGATATACACATTTACTACACTAGACTGATTACCTTGACAAACCAGACCTGATATACACATTTACTACACAAGACTGATTACCTTGACAAACCAAACCGGATATCCACAATGAACTCTCCCAGATCCAAGTCACATACACTGCCTAATCCAGCTATCCCAGCAAATATACTTGACAGCAGCTGCCGCAATGAACTCTCCCTCAGAACCAAACTAGGAAGTTAAACACTACCACCCTAAACAAAACAAACATGACAACGTAAAACTGGAGCCGTACCCACCATTTAGCTGTATCATGATCCACTGTGTGCAATCTACAGCTACTGTTTGTGGGGTGAATTTCATCCCTTGCTATTCAAGTTTCATGTGAAACAAGAGACAAGTAATAGTGGTGGTGTGAAGCAAGCTGTAACAGCTGTACTTTAATGTTGGAATATCGGAGCACAACAGTGACATACACTGGTATGAATAGGGAATTGTGTTTACATCCCACAATTACATATTCACCTGACACTTGTGGCACAGTTCTGTTGTTGAAGGATAAATCTCTTTAATATCATGACCACATGATGCCTTGTAGAAAGTGGTCAAATATAATAGATACAATTGGGGTAAACCTTTCTTAGTGAAATACAAATCTAGTACAATTATGGAGTTCCATCTCATCAAATATCACACCAAGAGAAATATCAAATAGACATATTCTATATATTCTAACAAACAGCAAATCAAGGTAATTCTGATTCATCTTCTTAGTCATGGTGAGTGAAATACACTGTGTCTATATTCAACAAATCAGCACTTCTACACAACCCAAATGACCGTAAATTCTACTAGCCAAACCTGAACATTCATTAGTCTGGACACTGGCAACAGGTTTCCTCTATCATCACAATCAATGTCAACATTACACCACCAAGTGATCGTAGTGATCGTTGTCTAAAACAAGGTAGTCATACAAAAATCAAAAGGAGATCATACGTAACTCTTACAAAGCTCAGGCTTTATTGGATTTCAAAAATGCAAGAGACAGAAGAATGCATAGTATCAAGAAGTGAGTGTGTATAAATCTCAACCACAACATAATGAGTTGTAGGATTTTAAGCTACTTTTAGAAATGGTCTGTCGATATCGCACAACATCCCTAACAACCAACACTGATCATCAGATCTATGTCAACTCAAGACTGAACGCCATTAGCACAAGGACTGTTCTAGATCGGTAGTACATGAACTGTGATCAGACCAGTACAAGTGAACCAAATGCATATATCTGTAATACACTAATCAAATGCTACCGTACTATGTCACCTCAACACCAACTGCCACAAGCTCTAGGATTGTCCGAGAGCCTGTTGCAGATCAGTACATGTGATCAGAAACAGTGATCAGAAAAGTTCAAGGGGACCAAGTGCATACATCCCTCATACATAACACTTATGAAATACTTTATCAAATAGAGCATGAGCACTGCCTAAATGTCTTTATAACACACAATCTGTCAGCTGTAGCGTAAACACCGAGGCACGTAGACATACGGTCTTTACACATCAATATAAAAACAGAACAGTTGGTGTTATATTTAAGTTAGAAGGTCAGGGTAAACAGGTTGGTGAACTGCATTAGAAAAGATTTTGATCATAGTTGACTTTAAAAATTAAAAAAAATGTCCAGTTATCCTGACTTACCGAAAACGCCCAGTAACTGTGACTTGACAAAACTGACCTCTGTGACATAATCTGTATGTACAGGTGCAAGTAGTCAGCATGGATGTTCCTTCACAATTATAATCACGGAACTGTCTGGTCCAGACTACATTACATATAGATTAATGTCAGAAAGATGGAATATTGGTGAGCGTGGCATTAAACAACAAACCCACTACTTGGCTACGTGGGAGCCCTCTGCTCCTCTGGAAGTCCAACTGTAAATAACATACCCCGCAAATGCTGTCATATTGATCACGATATCTAAAGCCACTAGTCACCATGACAAAGCATTCCTAAATTTTATACCTTTTCAATACAAAATGGTTGTCACAAATTCTTTATATACAAATGATTTAGCAAAAAATCTTGTAGCACTGCAATATTTTCTTCAAGTTACAAATTTTGAGCTTTCAAATACCTAACTATAGGAGAGTGTAAAACCAACAACAATTACACAATAAACAAAAACTGAATCAGCCAAATCTAAAAAAGGAGTAAAGTATATGATATATTAACAGAATATGACTACAATACATCATACTTAGCAGACTTATGTACCAGCCATGACCAATTAGCCAAAGTAATTACTCACAATAACATATATTAATAGAAGAATACACACAATAAATCCAGAGAGGGAAGTAAGGACCTATGACACTGTAAAAGATAAATACAAAACTATAACAGATCAACAGAAGTATATACAAGCCTTGTCATATTTTCAGAATTTACCAGAATATACATTCACAGAAGAATATACCATCCATAACATAATAACAGAAGATGAATACAAGACATATCAACAGAATATACCAGTAATAACATATCATATTCATAGAAGAATATACTGACTATTACATATTAACAGAACCATACACGGACCATAACATATTAACAGAAGCATACACGGACCATAACAATATTATTAACAGAAGAATATACAGACCATTAAACATATTAACAGAAGAATAAACGTACCGTAACATATCAACAGAAGCATACACGGACCATAACATATTAACAGAAGAACCATCACACTTGTCTCAACTAAGTAAGTGCACAGCAACCATCAGACCTGTCTCAACTAAGTAAATGCACATCAACCATCACACCTGTCTCAACAAAGTAAATGCACATCAACCATCACACCTGTCTCAACTAAGTAAGTGCACATCAACCATCACACCTGTCTCAACAAAGTAAATGCACATCAACCATCACACCTGTCTCAACAAAGTAAGTGCACATCAACCATCACACCTATCTCAAAAAGTAAGTGCACATCAACCATCACACCTGTCTCAACAAAGTAAGTGCACATCAACCATCACACCTGTCTCAACTAAGTAAATGCACATCAACCATCACACCTGTCTCAACTAAGTAAATGCACATCAACCATCACACCTGTCTCAACTAAGTAAGTGCACATCAACCATCACACCTGTCTCAACTAAGTAAGTGCACATCAACCATCACACCTGTCTCAAAAAGTAAGTGCACATAAACCATCACACCTGTCTCAACTAAGTAAGTGCACATCAACCATCACACCTGTCTCAACCAAGTAAGTGCACATCAACCATCACACCTGTCTCATCTAATTAACTATGAGCTCACCCAGCTTGAGACACCACAGATGCTTCAAGCACAGTACACCAGGCAGACATCCACTACTGTGTGACAAAAACACCCACATCAGCACACACACATTCACGTGACATGCAGCCTGGTACATATAGCTGGTCATGTTGAAGCACATACCGGTACAATCTCATGGAACATACAATTCAGCTCAATGAATGTAATTAACAAAATCAGTGATGTGATAAAGACTCAGTCTAATTCTTCAACAACAAAAGGTACTCCTACTATATATGCCTCATTGTGCATCTACCATGTCTAACACAAGGACAAAACGCGATGTGTCAAATCCATCAGTACATTAACCAGATATAAATGTAAAGACAACTGCAGTCACATAAAGTCACTAAAACACCCGGCATAAAAACATCAGGCTTTCAACAAGGCTGCTGTTATAAGATCCCTAACAAATGACATCTTTCTGCTGTCATCTGGTCATTGTCTTATCATGCTATATTGCTATATTACACACATCTGGTCAGTGTTTATTATCCATATTGCTATATGACACACATCTGGTCAGTG